ATAAGGTCGTTGTATCAACCATAGAACTTACGAAATGACGACTATAAACGAGACTGCTAATATTCTTGTTTCAAAAACTTGTTTGTCAATAACTTACCTCGATTTAGAAATTGTTCATACGTAGAGCATGCTCTTGCGTATCGAATTAACTGAGAGATATAAACCCCGTAAGAAGGTGATGAGGGTATATTGCTGCATAAGTAAGGGAAGTTGACGATTGAAAAGTTAAAATCATCACGTTTATCATAAAACTCTGTTGTTAGAATACCATTAACGTCTTTTTCTCGTAAAATATCCAAATATGAAACAGATGTGTCTGACTCTGTGGTATCTTTTATTTCAAGCGTCTAAGATTTTGCTTGTGCTTGTCTTGTTATTGTTTGTTTATTTCAATTGCTTTGAAATGATCCGTTTTGTTTCTTTTCTGAGTTTTTTTTTAAATTCTTATTTATTTATTTATCTATTTATTTACTTATTTTTGTTCTTCAATGATATGAATGAAGTGTGCAGTTTCAAATGAAACAGTCGGGTATTCTATGAGTTATAACTGCAACAGCAATTTCGTCCTTCGCGACATTTATTCGTTGAGAAATTGTCAAATGATAGTCCTTATTTTTCAAACTTTCGAGCAAGATGTCATTAAAGATAAATAGATAACATCACTTAAGGAGGGATTCTTGTCTGGTTTCTGACTAGATGAAATATTCAAAGTATATTTGCTTATATGTTTTATATATTTAGATGTAAGAGATTAAAAGATCATATTTTTCTTTCCTCATCACAATTGTACAACTTTAAGTAGAAATGGTAAACTGAGTTTGAAATCTAGCAGGGACTATATTTTTGGCGGAATGGCGGCGTTTGAAAATATCTTCTTTTCTGCCTCTCAAAATAATTATAGAACAATGAATTTAGTTATAATTTTTACACAATCAAAGACCTGGAGAAAATTTTTAAATGTAAGTTAAATTAATAATAAGGGACTAAATATCAAATAAATATGATTTTCCAAACAAACTACAATTATGTTAGCTTTTAAAAGCTTCCAATCTAAGTTCAGATTTGAGCCAAAAATCCGTAAAAAGTGTTTTTCTCTCTTAGTAAACGGTCAAAACTTTTTTGTTTTTATATCATTTTGTATCTTTATGTGACAACTTTACCATTTGTGAAAATAAGAAAAATTTAAATATAGGAAGCAAAATAACTAAAATATCTTAAAACTTTAAGAAAAATAGAGAAAATTCGGATTAGCCAATATCCATTTTAGTTAAATTAATTATGTCAATTTGATAATATCATCTTATAGACCCTATATGGTAATATCTCTTTATGCAAAAAGAAAAACATTTAACTTATTGAAATAGAAGTAGGCATCGCATGATTGGCAACAGTATTTTTTTTATTCTTAATGTCCAGGGAAAAGGTACTAACCTTGACCTGACCTTGCCTCTAATATAAAACGGTCAAATTTAATCTAACTGATACCATCACTTAGTGTTATGGTCTTCTTGATTCTGTGAAAATTTCATTGATTTTTAAATATAAGAAATAAGTGTTCTTATGAGAAGAATCCCTCCTTAAAGAACTTATTGACAATTCCAGTTCAGGCCTTCGAATAAGTATTATAACCGATCGAATCAGTGATATATTTAAAAATAAAAGAGTGGTATCACCTATTCCAAAAAATAAATAAATAAATAGCATCAGCAATGGAGTCGCTGACATCATTTTCTCAAAATTAATGAATGAGTTCACCAATTCGTATAGGTGATATCCCTCATTCGAATATAATAAATGAACACGTATTTCATACCATAAGTATTAAAATAAGAATTCTAGACTTTGAAACAATCCTTATTAGGGACCCAAACGTGACTCACATAAATAATATGAACACCGTCAAAGGTATATATATAAATAGATTTGAAAAAAAGAAAAAAAAAAATTCGATTGACTAGCTTAACCATTCGTAATTTTTCCAACACATAACCTTTCCTTCTCTTTGCTCTCTTTTTACTACCTTATTTCTTCGTACTTTATACTGGAATAATTATATACAAAATTGTATTTGTTTGTATATCATGTGTCTTAATATATATTCATTTTCTTTTTGTTGGAGAGGAAATCTAAGTTGGAATAACTTGTCCTGTATTGATACTGTTTAATAAGATATTTTAACAACAAAAAAATTACTGGAATAAGTGATGCATGTATCATCTATCTGTGTTAAATGAGCGACATCACCATATCGGTAAAGAGAATATGATTCACTCCGTTGTTATTAATCGGAGAATGCTTAGAAGTAGTAATTTTATTCAGCCATTTAGACTTTTTCTTTCTTAGCAAAAAATCGAGAAGTTTGTTTTTCCTTTACATATACACTGTTAGACAAGAATATTAAAGATCTATATACATGTATGGCATAAAATAATTCAACTTGTTGTTGAGTCATTTTACTTACAATTAAATAGGATCTTATTTTTTCTGTAATTTTGTTTTGTTTTTTTTTCTATTAAAAAACTGTTTTATAAAAAGTCCTCCTTTTATTTTTTCAACAAAGCTGCTACAAGTTGTTTCAAATCAATTATTAAATGCAACATAATATTATATGTGCAATCTAGAGAAAATATTTACGATATTATTCATTTCCGAGCCCCACATATCAAATACCACTAGACGAAATCCCGCGCAAGCGCAGGGAATTGAATTTACACCACTACCGACAGAAAATATATTGTAGTTTCTACTGACAGCCTACAGGCGTATAGAAGGAATACTTTGTTCAAAATCCCACAGGAAGTAAATGTACGTCTCCACCCCCACCCCACCGCCCTTTTTGTAAAATCTTGAAAATAACAATATTTAATTGACATTTATTGTGAAACCTGTTATACAATGTTGTGGATACTGTACTTCAGATGCTCTTATTTCATTTCCGCCAAGGATAAAGGGAGTGAATATGCACAATTTTATTGATAAATTGATTTTTGCCCGGGGGGGGGGGGGGGTTCACAAGTTCTTGGGTCTTGGTTTATAAATATGTATGCACCTTATTGATATGTAAAAAATGTACTTTACCTTTTTGACATATCAATAAGGTACCCGGTACATACATATTTATATACCAAGACCCAAGTACCTGTGTAAAAATTAGCTGTTTAACGCCCTATGAATAGGCCGAGTATTTGATACAAAAGACTGTATTCAGAAAAAAAAACTGAAATGTATTGATTAAAGCACAAAATTTCACAGCTTTAATTATATTTGAACAATACCTTATTCATTAATTTTCTCCTTTCATATAAGCAAGTTTATTACATTTTCAACAGTGAAATACTGTGATTTATTTATTGAATAAAAGTGATATTCCCTCACAGTGTGAAAGGATCCCAAAATGATATTCTCTCACAGTGTGAAAGGATATCAAAGTAAGTAAAAAATAATTTCTGGCCTGTCATAAGATAGAGATAGTAACTACGCATCTTGATAGAGCTAAAACTGCAAATTTCTTCCCAAATATGTTGCTAAAATCCATGCTATGTAATGTTTTCAATCACACAACTGCTAAGCTATGACGTCTCAACCGCTCAACTATGACGTCAAGCCTTTTGCTGTGTTATGAAAAGACAGAGGCAAAGGAAAAAATCAAAGAAAATGTAATAAACAGAAAATTCAATGTTTTGTAGATGAATATGGAATTTATTTCACTCGTGAGACAGGATTTTTTTTATATTTTCACTCGTGCTTCGCACTCGTGAAAATATCAAAAAATCCTGTCCCACTCGTGAAATAAATTCCATATTCATCTACAAAACATTGAATATCCTCTATTTATTACGAAGTACAAATTGTACTTCGGGTTCGTTGCCACGATGCTCTCAGTAAGGAAAATACAAATTTTACCGATAAATTTACATATTTTACCGATAGATTAATTATAGAAAAACCTACTACATATATGTAATAGTCTTTCGATATATAAATATATTCACAACTTATAGTGTTATCAATGATTTACCATTATTTCAATGACCATTCACACAAAAGCTATTTTTACGTTCATGCAGCTACAATCGCCTCGTTTTTCTTTTTAACATCGGGCTCAATGCTATATGATGTTCTAGAAGCTTCCGTCAATATTAAGATTGGCGAATGACGAAAATAATTTGCACATTTCCCTTTTTAATCGGATATCACAACTTATTTCTTTTACATCTTTAAATCCAGTTTTGATTGAATAATAAAGTGATGACGTTTTATGAAATAAATAAACGATTGCTTGTTGTCAGTTTCATTAAAAACTGCCAGTAACTTAGATCCGCCAACCGGAAACGCCACCGTACTCACGTTTTTGCTATTTCATGGCTGTTTATAGAAAATAAAAGTAGACTTTTTATTTAATGTGCGACACTTACTATGCGAGTGAAATCTGAATATAGTTTACGGACATCATCTTGTATATAGGGTATTGTCAGAGGAGTAAGTACGAACTCTGGTGCACCTGTTTCGGAGTTTGTTTGCAAAACTTATTAATTTATAAGTATAGATGAATCACGACATTTTTTCACTAGGGACGGCAAGTTCAAGAAACAGGGAAACCTTATCATATAAAATTGTAAATAAAAATGACGAAAAGTGATATATTCAATCCAAATTTGAGATTTCACTTAGATTCAATTATTGTTAGTAAATCACTAATGCTGATCAGGAAGGAATCCATTGTTCTGATCAAATCCACAAAAAGGATCAGGAAGAAAAAAAAGAGTTTTAAAAAATTTCGCATTTATGTTGAATAATAGTTTTCTTCCTTATTATTTTAATTATCTATTTTAAATAAAATTTTAAGCAGCCATACATCTTTTAATGCTCAACACATGTACAGGCAGTAATTTTCCGATAATTTCAACCTTTGATAATAAAAAAATAAATGTTACGTAAGGTTTAATTTTACCAACAGAACGATTTTGTAAGCAGCGTATCAAACTAAAAACAAAGCACAGTTATAGTCTCTAATCTTTATTGTCAACATCAATGTTTTTTCTGTCAAATAACAATCAAGTTTTGTACTTAATTTTTGTTGCATATACATATACGATTAAAGACACAACATTTTCAACATATCAGCATGACGCTCACTATAACACACATGACAACATGTACATGTATCTACTAGTTCTGGTACAAATTCCAAACAATCTGGAATATGTCAAAAAGAATGTCAACATAGTATTAATCCTTCTCACACATCTACGACTCTACAACTATACACGGATTTCATTTGAAGTAGGTTCTCCCCCTTTAATTACTTGCATAGTCATACACTGTGTATATAGTGGATTTCATTTTTTCTGAATAATGATAAGAATAAAACTGCAAGGAATCAGAAAATGCAATTTTATTATTAATTTTTTTTTATTAAACATTTTAAAATGCTACGGAACATATGACAGTACCTTTAAAAGGTAAAATAATGAATTATAAAACTTTTTTTTCATTTGGAAATGATTTGCGTGCTTCAATTTTATCTGCTGCCAATATATATAATAATAGTACCTGCGTCATTGTGACCAAACTTAGTTAGGGATATTGCATTTCCGTTGTAATGAACACCGTTCTAAGTCTATTAAACTAAGACAATAATCGATACTGCTACAAATTGTTCATTATTGTCTTAAACGCGTATCAAAGAAGCATTGATCGAGAATTTATAGGTGAAACAAGTTCCTTAATGTCGACTAAAAAAAGACAAAAACGACTTATAAATAGGCTTACAATTTGATATTGGAGCTCTAAAAACTTATTTATTTTTTCCCCACATCATTAGCACTCTATTGTTGTATCAGCACCAAAAATATTCACTTAAATCTCTTAAAACACACACCATCACTACACTGCTAACAAAATCACAATGTCTATCCTCATTTAAACAAATATCACGTTAAATTCTACCACACTGAAGGTTTCATTGTGCATTTTTCGTAATACAATGATTGTTGCGATTGTCGCCATTTTTAGAGATCATTGAAATATTCAAGAAAAAGAAACAAACAAAAAAATCTAAAAAGTACAATTTTACTATAAACATTCTAAAAACAAACACGAGACTGCAGGTCATTCTTCGTTTTGCAGTATGCACATGGAATGGAGTATTTACGCAGTTCTAGCACCTTGTTCGTGACGGCCTCACAGAGGATTCTGGCAGGCTTGTCCTTCATACCGAGATGAAGCACCAGCTGATCAGTTGTCAAGAGAGGTAAGTATTTCCCGGATATTCTGCTTTCATGGAAAACCTGAAAAATAAATTTCATTCATTGAAAATTATTTTTAAGAAATTTTTCATGGTATGAATTAAAGTACCAGTAAAGTATCAGAACTTGGCGATTTTCAACCCAGCTTCAGAAGTTAGGGCAATCGTAAAATCATATGACGAGATACAGAGAACTCAACATATCAATATAAACTGTATGAAGATATCGGTAGTAAGTTTCGCATTGAGCATACTGCCATATTGGTTAATTACCTTAACGTAGGAGGAACAACCCTCCAGACTTCTCAAAAACTGTCCAACTCTTTCAACTGACCAATTTCGGATGTCCTTTGAACTGTTTTCAGCACAAAGACAAGAGGATCCATTAAGATTCGACACCTTTCCACTGCTGAGGTGTACGTGTTTTGAATCTGACAGAAGGTGTCCGCTTCGCTCCGAGCCATACAGCTCTTGATGCAGACGATATGCATTGTTATTGAAGGGACTTTCAATATTGCACTTTGGAATGTCAAAAATGCTATTTGAATGAAGCTTTGGACGTTTGACGGATAAATCCAAAACTGACTCGGACGACACTGGTGGTCGTTTTACCGCTTTTTTTGATACAGCAGGACTCGTCGTGGAGCTATTTGTGGTATGGAATGGAGGTGCAATATTATGCGGTAATCGAGTCAAATCTAATACTGCCGGTGAAGCGACTTTTGGTGACGTCACTGACTTTGATTTGATCGTCTGCGGACGTGCCGCAGCTGCGAATGATTCAAGATGATGACTGTGTTCTGTGAAGGCGGGAAACATATACGGATGTACGTATCCTGGATGAAAAGGGATTTCTGGAGATCTGAAGTAGTGGTCATAGAACGCTGGACTTGGTAGCCTACAGTGGAAAGACAAAACAATACTCAAGTACTCTTCCAACTAATCAAAATGTTTAAGATTCTTATAAATCAAGAATTTTCTCTTTTTTTCTTTTCAAGATTATATTAAACTGAATATGCAAACAACAGTAATTTACTTCCTGGATAATGGAAAAACAAGAGAAATTTTGTCAACTTACAAGGAATACGTTGCAGCAAGGGTTTTCATATACTCGTTATAATGGTCGGTATGACTGGACTGTGGTGAACGTACCCCATTCCGGGGACTGCCAGTTCTCTGAAGAATATGGTCTTTTCGTGAGAGAGGTGAATTAGTTCTGTTAGGTGACGTAGAATTCGGCGATCTGCTGAAAACATTATAATCTGTGGGACTGTGTTCTGAGAGGGTGATTTTAGATGATGGGGTGGTGCTAGGAATAGAAATTGCTGGTATAGCTTTTTTCGTTGATTCAAATGCAGGAGATTTGTTTGTCATAGTTTGGCTTGATGATATGATGCTATCAATACTAAACGTGTTAGATAGCTTATACTGATTTCTATTTTCGTCAATTTTCTCCGTATGGGTAACTGACAAGCTTTTTGTGTGATCTGGACCTGAAACGGAAGTAGATTCCTTTTCCTTCGTGACACGGGATTCCGGATGTGTTTTATTCTCTGGGCTGTTTTTTGCTGGAGCTTCATCTTTTCCTGGAGTACTTGAAACCCCTGTATCTCTCTCAAATATTTCCAGATACTTTTGTTTTGCTTCCTTTTTCATGAAGTAGGGCGAACGCTTCACTTGATTATGTTTACGAGGAGATTTCTCCCGATTTGCACCTATTTTCTTCCCGCCATTTTCTGCATCCTTTGTTTCAGATGTTATACTAGGAATGTTAACATTTCCTAACTTTCCTCCTGTAAAATGATAATTAGAAGCATGAATTCTGTATTTTCATTTAGTAATTATTTAAATACGAGGGTTGATCCAGAAGTTCGTGGAATTCCTTTATATTTTATTTATTTTTTAATGAAAGTGATTTAAAATTACAGGTGAAAATTTATAAGCTTGTTGAATTTTCTTAATAAAAAAAATATTTTAAAAATTCATGATTTTTTACACAATAAATTTTTCATTAACTGTGTGGCATTTAACATTCATAACCAATCGGTTAATTCAAAATATTTAAAAAATATTTGTCAAATGCATTTTTCGTGTATAAATCGTTTCAAAGAAAGTAATTTTAGATATTTCAATCGAGGTTTTCACAATTTGATAAACGGAACCAATAGAAAAGAAATCGCTGATTGGATGCCTAGTAATTATTTATCCATTCCTAATTCATAATCCGAGAATATGATCACCCACTTTGTCTGAAAATAATTTAGGGAAAAAGGTAATAAGAAGCATTTTGTGGAGTAGCAAATAGTTCGATCGCTTAAGCAATTTATCGTGTGATCGGGGTTTACCAAGGTCGTTCGGTCTTTAAAGCTCGATTTATTTCTTCCGTGCGTTTCAACCATCAGCTCAATAAATCAATAGAGCAACAAAAGCATGGTTATAAGAAATTTTACAATCTCTGCTGAGCGAACACAATGCCGTACCGTGCACTACTACTAAATACGCAGGTGATCACCTCTCCATTATGATTTAAAAAAAAAAAAAAAACAAAATTAAAATAAATTTTGACTTCAGAAAAAAAAAGCCTATTAAAATAAAAAGTTTTTTGGGGAAAAAAATAAAAACAAATTTAAAAACAAATACACGACCTCAGACTCTCTCCTTTGAAAATGATGAAGCGTGATAGTGCAATTTTGGAAACAGGCATGCCACAAAGTACGCGGCCCGATATAGAAGGCACGCAACAATGAAAGCACGTGGGGTTTCCAATATCAGTGGCGAGCACGTGTGTCGGAACGTCCCACATTGTCAATGATATTATCTGTTAATCGGCGCTCTTTCATATTTGACAAGCCCTAGTAAATACCTCTCTTTTTCGCTTATATTAAATTTCAAATAAATCGTGATTAAAGCAGAACGCTCTCTTTTAATACCTTTTTCTGTTGTATTGTTTTCGCCGTCGGGAACATCGTCGTCAGTTTTATCCGATTTTCTTTTTTCTTTGCTCTCTCGTAGTTGATTAATTATGCTTCCAAGTCTCGACTCTCGAGGACAACTACAACAAAGCCATCAATATTATACATCAGGTGTATATATATTAAAGAATATTTTATTTATGCCAGCAATAAAATGTGTCTAAATCGCAAGTATTCCGAACATCATTTATCGCATAGAAAATGCGCAATAAAAATGATACACTAAAATTAGGTTAGGAACAAAGCGTGTAGTCGAGTCATTTTACGTCGCTTTTTAAATCACCTTAAATAAATTTACATTACAGACATAAACTAATGTCCCTATTTAGCTACGAGGAAACATAAGCTTTGAACAATTTTGAAAGTCTAAAATATTACGTTAAATGTTATTTGCATTCTGCTATAAAAAGTGTCATACGAGGAAAGAAGTATTGCCTGTCGCACTTGAGTGTACCAAAATGGGGTAAACAATTAGGCGATAAAACGCGTGTGCATGCCTGTCGACTCAAGCATTCACCATCTTTTTATCATTATGAACGTGATATATGTCAAACCCATTTCAGAAATGTACGTTTCAGTAATCTTTGTAATCCAATCCCAAAGGACATTCGAGGAAATTTAATTCTACGAGGCCTAAAATTCTTTCGTCGTTACATGTTTTTGGTTGAAAGTATTTCCTTATTTTCCGTAAAATGTCAATATTCGTCGAATCCATTTCCTAAAATTAGACATGTATGTTGTTTTAAAATTTCTGTGTATACCTAAATCTACTCAAGCTATTTTCTTTTGTCCCTTCGAACTTGGTGTTGATATCTTTAAAATATGATTAAAGCAATTTGAGAAGTTTAAAAGTCAGTCCTATATGACGTCTTTCATCCTACTCAAAAGCAATGTAGCTATCTTCAACAGATAATATAATTGTTTATACCTAATTCTGTCATTTGCTGAAACACTGTTGTCGTTTTTGTCGCTTGGTCCTAAGCTGTCGTCTGCCTGTTTCCCGTAGCTTTCTCCCCTGTCGCCATCTTCTGACGCAAGTTTCTCGCCTTCAGTATATTTAGCAAATTCGGGGGTCGATACTGACAATTTACGCTTTCTTTTTCTAATTTTCTCCGTCATAACACTTTTGGGATGTTTTATGTCCGGACCTTTCGTCTTATTTTTTTTAGCGATCCTTCTTTTCTTTATCTTCAGGACAGGAATGGCCGAGATTTGTTTCGCCTTTTCCGTCGAAAAGCATTTGGTTTCATCAGAAACATCATTATCTCTTGGTTTGTTATCACTTGAACACGTTTCGCTTTTGCTCTCGTTTTTTCCACCATTGATTTTAGCTGAAATGTGGTTACAATCAAAACTTTGCGCTTTCCGCTCCGAGTCATTCCCTTCTTTCTGTAGAGTTTTATCGGGGTTTGATGGAGTTATTTTCTGAGTGACTTCATCTGAGACGACGGACTTTGATTTTGCTTGGTCCACGTCTTCTGTTTTTAATTTGGCTACGGCTTTAATAGCGTCGCATTCTGAGATTATGTTCGATGTTTCTTCGTCAAACCCGCATTTGTCGAAATCGTAATCGACTGGCTCAGTCGTGTCACTTCCGCCTTCCCAGCTCTCCTCTGTTTTGTTGTCGTCTATCGCCGACTGGACGGTTTCGTTTTTCAGATCGTCTGTATCTTTGCAACTTTTATTTTCTATTTGAACATTTTCTTTATTTTCCACCTCAGTAAATGTTCCTTCAGTGTCATTTTTCATTTCGTTATTTCCCACCTTTTCGTCACTGGGTTTCTTCTTGTCTAAATTCAACTTTGATTTTTTCTTTGGTATCTGTGTTTGAAGAAAGATACAAGAACTACTGATTAATATTTCTATTCTTCTTAGCAGTCCTAAACTTAATCATTACTTAATTGAGTCAATATGGGTTGAAGAAAATTGCAACATCGTATACAGGGGTAATACAATAATTAAAAATTAACAATATACGTCAAAGCATTTTCCAATATCCTTAGTTGCCATGACAGCCAATTTTGACATTTCCGCAGTGACAGATGAGATATAAGGATGATCAGATCAACAAAAGTGGATATTTACGGAAAGTTGCTTATATCATTTACCGTGCTATAATTACACTTAATTATTTCATTATGCAAAACAAGTTTAAAGTACAACATTTCTTTGCTTATAATGTTTTTTCTTCTTTTAACATGTCTTATCTAAAAGTGACGTGTATATTTTAATGCATGGCCTGCGACGTGTAGATAATTTAATATTGAAATGCAAGCCCGCGTCTGCCGAAACTATTAGCATAAAACTTGAACCACAACTATCGACGACAGATGTGAAACTGGTAAAAATCTCGTTTTATTTCACATCCGGTGTTTCTCTTCGGTCTATGAAACATAACTGCACACGTGTTTATTTTATTTTCCCCCTCCATTTTCAACTTAAGAAACATCAGTTTTGCCATCTTATATTTTGAAGCTTTTTCCTCTCATGAGCTATTGGTGTTAATATGAAAGATGTTGAATTGGTATTTTGTTTTCATTTTTCGATTCTGTTTTACATTAGGTACGTCGCTCTGGCCTCCGATAATCTTGTGGTCTCGCTGCTCGCATTGATTATTATCTCGTCGTCTCAGTTCGTGTCGCGCGTCATTTCATATCCTTTAAGTCAATTGGTTTTTTTATCGAATGTGTATAGTTTTGTCGAGGCAAATTCACGAAAAAAGTCATTTCTCTGTTTAGCGATCTCTTCAAACAAAGCTTCGATCCGGGTTTAAATAAAATACGATTTGTGTCTATTTTTAAATTATTTATAACAACTCTATCTTGAAGCTGTTACGAATCGGTTCTATTCACACAATTAAACCCACAAGCTTCAATTACCGGTTCTCGTACACAATCTTACGAAATATAATCATTTGCGACGGCGAAAAATTAGAAGAATTCGGTGGTTTAAATTAGATCGTCACGTATTTATTTGCGTGTGATAAATCATCGTATATAAATTTCATCCCTAGCGGAGAATTTAAACAGGTAAATGAGACTCGAAAGCCAAATTTAAATCTATCATTTTCTTTCAAATCAATATTGCCGCCGGTCTGAAGAGAAAAGCGCGCGACACCTTTTTTTCGCGCCAGGAATAAAAAAAAAACCGCGTTGGTGTTACACGTCTATCCGTCTGCTACCATAATTTGTCCTCGCTCGCCTTCCGGTTTATTATGAGAGCGTAACACTGTAGCTTTTGTTCAAAGTATACAATAATAAAAATAAAACAACACTTCTTTCAGAGGATGCACCCAATAATTTACAGAATTTTAGAAAGAAATCCATCAATTCCGTAAGCGTTTCTCGCTTGACTCATTTCTAAAAAGGCCATGCTTGCCTTGTTCATGTTCTCGTCATCATCGCTCACGATGTTTGAACAAAATAAACAAGTCTAGGTCTTTTAATCTGCAGCGAAACCAGACGGAAAAATACAGAAAAGCTTTTTCAGCACAAAAAGTACATCTCTCGGAAGACTAATGATTTCAGCCTTTTTCATTGGATGACGTCGTAATTCATTTACCATTAAAAATAGTATTACTTATTGTGTTTAAGTCATTTAATGTCTTCCAAGCGATAATATGTCGCGATTGAAGACCAGAAAACGGCGCAATCCTAACAATGAAAAGCGACTTAGTTTCCACTAGAGGCGCAATCGATCGCTCGATATATTACAAGCGACCCCTGTAAACGGATTTACATTCAAACTGTGTAACATTAAGCCTCATAGAGGTGGGGAAAATTAAATAATAATTTATGTAGATAAACATATGCTATATAGTACGTCATGAAGACCCTGAACACATCTATAATTAAACAGTTTTTATTCCGTGAAAGGCAAATGTTCTTTGTCGTAAGGTCTTTTTTCTAACAAATTAAGGATGTTCTCGCTTTTTTTTCTTTGTGAACGTTTATTGGTTTATATATAATGAATAACATTATACAATTTTAAAACTTTATAAATCTTTTGTCTCTCTTTAAGCTATTTTAGTTTATCGTCATGTCGACTTAGGGTCTTTTTTTATCAATGTGCAATGCCTTTATAGCGTGTCGCGATATCTAATCGAGTTCCGTTTTTGAAACGCGGTCAATACAAAAGAAATAGAACCCAATCTATCTGGATTATGGGGGAATATTACGTTATCAATCAACTCGATAAGACCTATCGTGCGTGTCGGGGATCAATTAGAAGGCATCGGAAAAAAGGTCTTCGTTCAACAACTCCCCTATAGACGAAGTCTACGACCAAAACAAAACCAAAAAAAAAAAAAAAAAAAAAAATCAAACATCCTAAAGTTCCACAGTTTTACCACAATTTTCACATTAAAAAGTAAATTATATACTACTTTTATTTTTTTTTATACCTTTTTCTTCCATAATTAAACGTACGAAAAGAGTACGAAATGAAATGATTTTATTGCCTATTTTACTTATACTTTGGGGAACAAGTTATGATAGAAATAGGTATGTTTCAAGTTTCGTCTCTGCGCCGTCAGACGAGAGAAATTCCGTAAACAAGCCATATTTTTTAATATGTGCTAGTGAGAAATCGTGTCTGATTTGTGAAGTAAAGTGCGTCATTCGATGGTTCGTATCTTCAAATAATTACGTACTATTCGATAGAGCGCCGTGATCCGAGTTTTCTAAGGTGGAAACAAAAGAAAACGAAGCTTCCACGATTCGATTGTACAATCAATTTCAGCATTCTTGGTCAGAGAGCGAAAACGGCGATATTCTGCCGCCGTCTTTCGTCGTTGCAAATATTTATTTATTAGGCACTTACATTTCCCAATGCACGTAGGCCTGTTCCGTGCAATAATTTTATAAATATCATCAATTACAAGCAAGTCGTGGTGAAATAATACGCACTGGCTTTACGAGAGCGGTAGAAAATTACACGATACGGAAGAAGGAGAATTTATAGAATTGGAATTCGGGATATAATTGGCTTCCACGATATTCTCTTCAATTCTAAGTCATTATTTTTTAAAGAGCATTTACTTCTAAGTGTCAAAATTATAAATAAAAGCTTCTTTTTATCATTATTATTATTATTAAAACTTGATTATAGAATATCTTTTTGTTTTGCATGTTTTCTTTCTCGTGACTAGCTAAGTACAATTGGTATGGGTGTTGTCTTGTTCTTGTCTCGAATCAATAAATTAAACAGCTTTTTTTCTATGAACGCCGGCATTACGAAAATCAAACAAACACGAATGTATACATATCATTACCATGAAAGCTAACATAACACCGTTTTCTCGTTTAAAGCTTTTCTTTTGTGAAATCGACATACCACAGGAAGTCGTTGTTGGTTTCTAAGCATCGCGTGAAAAAGCGTGACGTGTCGTATTCAATTTGGTGTTTTTACAGTCAAATTAAAATAGATAAAAAAAATTCCGTGTTCGTTACCGGAATAAAATAAAGTATAAAGTTTTACATTTTCATGACAAATTTCAATCCTAACAAGATTTTTTTCCTGTTGTGAAATTAGCGTTGCTTTTTTCCTGGCCGCTAGCCAAACACGAAGAGATAATAATCATGGATAAATCGATCGCTTAATCACAGATTTTGGAAATTTAATAAGGAATTATGAAAATCTTCTTTTCTTCATGTAAAAACTTGATTTTTAGTTTTCCGCTTTTATAGGCCGTCAGCATATCAGTATAAAATGTCAAAATATATAAAAACATATATTTCGTGCAAAAAGCAAAAAAATATGCGCCGCATTAATAATTTAATATAAGACGACAGCTGCATGAAGTGGCCCCAGAAGTCATATATATACTAGAGGTGCGTGTTGAACTTAATGAGTAATCTAAAACTTCGCGTGCATTTTCTGATATGACGCCTGAAACATGGGGACGGACCGTGGATAAATAAAAGATTAAATTCTCGCTCCATAATTGTGTTTCCGTTCTAAATGGATTCGATTATCGAAAATGTTCAGAGAGGTCTTGTAAAAACCGATTCGCTTTCTCCGTCAATATAAAAGCTCGCGTCCCCACGGTATTTTTTCGCCCAATTCGGTCAAAACAAGCGAACATTGAAAGATCGAAAAATTAATACTGGGGGTGATAAAAATTATAATAGAAGATTTGCCGATGTTTTTTCCCCTCTTTAAAAAAATAAAATTGGAATTAAATAGTTGTAAAATATAACAAAATATTTATGAATAAAGTTTATATATATATAAAAATGCATTACTTTAAAAATTGTGTTTGAAGTGCGAAATTTATATCCGTAAATTCTATCTTCCGCGTTCATATCTATTTCCGTAATACATCTTGTCGTCTTTCCGGCAGGCATTGGACGTCAACTAATGCTGGGCGGAAAACGGAATAAATTGTTCCGGGTGTGATTAAGATGATAAACAATCAATTGTTCAACTTGCAATTATGAAGTCGCAAATCATCGTGGTTTCCCTCTCGTTACAAAAACTCATCTTGTTTTTTTTTTTTTTTTAAGGGTAGAAACTCAAGAAATCATCTTCAAACAATTTTACTGTTAAAAAATACAATACCAATATTTTTCTTTTTAGAAAACGTACTTATGTGCAAGATTTTAATGAAGTATCAATTAATTCCATAAAATTTAAATATATATATAGAATGCATGTTGATTTCCTATGACTTGAAATAAAGAATGTGATCCAATTTTCACAGTAAAACTATTTACATGTATGTCACATTCAGTAGCCATAGTATTGACAATCACTTGAAAAGACTTCATATAATTGCTCCGACAATTCGCAGAAAAACTGAAAATTCGTTGACACAAGACTTCATTAGATACAGTAGAAGAGTTTATTTTGATAGCAGAAGATTTTTGTTATATGTGTATTTTTTCCACTGATTGTTATCTGCGTCATTTGAAAGTCTGGAAAAAAGAGCTTCGCGCGTGCAATTCTGCTGATATCGCTTTTCCGTCAGGACAACTTTTTAAGAGGGTAAGCCTTCGTCACGATTTGCAATTATTTGCAAATGTCGAGGCAAAGTGTATTTTCCCGCGCAATAGTTAAAAAATCAGTGTCAGTACTTTTTTTTTTTAATTTAAAGATTGTCTTTCTAAAAGTGTCTGAATTTAACGCTAGCAAAAGATATATAGCTTGTAGTCACGAGCTTGTACAGGAGCTAATCGCACTTAGTTTGAAATTTTCAATCTCAACATGAGTTACTTAGTTCTGTCCTCGGTGATTTCCTTTTTCATTTTTTTTTTTATATTTATTTTTTATTTTTAAAGCATAAAGTATACAGATGGTTATTGATAGTCGTAAATCTAGATCATCCTCGTGTCATAATAGCGAGACTCACACATCCATTAAGTATCGAATAGCTCCGAAGCGCATAGTTTCCAAACTGCGCATAGCGTATCCCCATGTTTAATTAATAGAATGTTTTTGTTTTGTAATATACGTAGTTCGATTTACGTCTATCAGCAAGAAAAGAATTCTACACAAAATACTACAGCAATGAAGATTGCCCAACGGCATAATGTCATCAATCTTTCGTCGGAGTGTAACGAAGAAAAATTATATGAAAATACATTTTGTTGCGGTTCTCGCAGTCGTGTTGCGCCATGTTGCATCTCGCTGCTGAAGTGGTGCAATTTTTTTTGCGAATAGTTTCATTTTCCATTCAAACTTACGTCTCCTTATACAAGTATGTACATAATCAAGTGTTATTAAATATCAAGAAGTGATAATTTGTGGACATTTTTTTGGCGTATATATGTAAATAAGTAAATTGTGATATATTGATTTTGTAAGATTCTTTGTCACGATCCTCAAGTATAAGTTCGCTTTCACCCTTTCTTCATAAGATCGTGTGTCTCGCCGCACGCTTCGATCTTCAGATCGATTGGAAATACGTAGGTACACAGAGAAATCGCTATCGGAAAAAATTAAATAAACTCTTCGTCCATCTGTCGTGTAATTTGCATTGTGATATAAATTGAGGGCTACAAGCTGCGAAATTTCACACGAACAGGAAAGCAAGAGAGAGAGAAAAAAAATCTCAGCCATAAATAAATATCGCCGTAAAAATTATAACTGCTACACGTTCTTGTCCTAAACGACTCGCACGTGCGTCTAGAATAATGCAAACACGTAGTTTATCTCGATAGGGCCTTTACACACAATCGATAAATAATATTTAAAATGAAAAAAGGATCGGCTTTCTTAAATAAACTATACTTCTTTTATTGGTGAAAACTAATAGCGTGACGAACTTACATTAAATCGC